CCATCCATCCATCCATCCATCCATCCATCCATCCATCCATCCATCCATCCATCCATCCATCCATCCATATTTCTCCCTTTCTCCATATAGGCTAACATTTGATCATTTACACTCTCCGTAGTTCCCCTGTGGTGCAAGCACAGGGTGACTGTTACTCGCCTTTAACGAGCATGTGCATTTCCTTTCACTTGTGTGGTGAAGCGTCCTGCCTGCGCTGTGCGGAGATGCAGGGGAAACCGTATCTGATGGGGAAACGCATCTCGACGTAACACCGGTATTTCCATCTGGAAAAGGCTGTTTTGCTGCTGGAGTCCTCCACACTCTCCTTCTCTCTGTGTGTGCTGTAGGTTAACACCCGCCAGCGGAAACACTCACCTACCCAACTGACAGACGTAATCTCACTATACATCAACCAATCTCATCCTCCCCTCCCTCATGACAAGGCGCGCACGAGTCCCATCATGAAGAAAAGGTTAATTGTGCGACCTGAGTAACGTGCAGCAACGGGGTATCTGCAATCGTAACTGCGTTACAGTCAAAGTAATTAGTTAGATTACTCATTATTAAAACAAGGAACTGCCTGCTGGAAGTTTAACCAGCTTTGTGACTGTTTGTTCTTCTCAGCATCTCTGGTTAATCAGACAGAAAGCTACAGTGCTGATACCAGGATATACATAGCATATACAAAACAAGTCCAGAACTTATGTCCAATGACAGCCTAACTTATGCATGAGGCACGGCAGCGTAATGCCCATGAAATGATGTACAAGCCATTGTCCTACGGGGGACAAGGATGCGCCCGGTCTGCATAACAAGATGTCTTGATCGGGGTATTAACCTAGCTGCTGTTCACCAACCGCCCACAAAAAAAAAAGATAAAATAAAAATAAAAATGGTTTGCAGTCAAAACAGATTCAGCGTCATGTTTGCTTGGAAGTTTGTTGGTCATGGCAATGTGCGTGAACGCAAGGAGGATCCATCACAATCACCTTCTCATTCACTCTATGATGGGGATGCAGTCTGGAGAAGAACTGTGTCCTCCTTTTAACACCTTCTTTACACCAAAACACTACCAATGCACCATTATACGGTAGCTGTAAGTTCGAAATATGTTCAGGGGTTGTCTGGAATATGTCAAATATGTTGATATAAGTTCTTGATACTCTAAGTCATGCATAAGTTATGCACAATATACTTATAGGTTTTGGATAAGCTAGACACCAAAACTCATGAGTAACTTACACTTAACTTATGTCAATGATCATATAACTTATGTAACAACCTTATAAACTTGGACCCAATATTCAGACAGACAGGTCAGGATGGTTTTCAAAAAGTTTTATTTTGGAAAAAAACCTTAGCGAGCGACAGATTGTCAGCGGGGCGGATACCTGGATTCACTGCAGAGGTAGAAAACACAGGTCTGTGACTGGAATGTTAGGCTAAGCATGACTAGGAGCATGAAGTCATTGACCGGGTTCAAAGTCCAGTCCGATCCCAGACAAAAGGCAGATTGTCCACTGTTTGCAGCTGTAGCTGCTTACAGCACCCTGAGTGATGATGAGCTGACACCAAGGGAGCAACATTGTCCATAAGGAGAATCTAAGCCTAGGTCGGTCCAGTCATGACAATTGTGTTGTTTAACAAAACCCTTGACTACTGGGTTACTTAGTATGGTTGATAATGTTTACTGAGCATCAAGCACTATTCCACAACTATACAACTGACGTTCATATACAGTTCTGTGGTTCCCCCTAATGGTAGCAATCAGTATAACCCATGGCAGGTCTAACAATAACACATTGGTTTACACCACATCCTCCTTACTGGAAGTTGAAGAGAAATTGATTACTCATCTGACGCATTCTGAATCTCTGAATTCTTGGTGGTAATGCATCCAGACCCCAGCCTCCCAGTAGGCTCACTAGAGGTTTGTGGTCTGTTTCAAGTTCAAAGTGCACTCCGAGAATGAAATCACTAAACCTTTCACAGGCCCATGTCTATGCCAGAGTCTCTTTCTCCAGCTGGGCGTATCGCTGTTCTGTGTCAGTCAGCAACCTGAAAGCATACGCGACCGGCAGCCACGCTTCTGCCTTTTGCTGCAGCAGCATAACTCCCAGCCCGTAAGATGTGGCATCAGCTGAAATCTTGAGTGGGCTGTTTTAGTCGTACAGCTGGAGGACTGGCGCTGAGGAGAGTTCATGCTTCAGGTTGCAGAAAGCACGTTGCTGATCGTGCCCCCAGCACCACATATTCTTATTTGAGAGCAGGCCCCTCGATGCGGCTTATGACGCCCAGGCTCTCCATCCTCTCCAGCTCCTTACCCATGTGTGGCAGTGGTACTCGCAGTGGGACTTTGAGAGAGAAGGGCTTGGCGTTTTTGATGGTGTAGGGCTTCTAGACCACCCCCAGTCACAGAGTTTCGGGTATGTTGTCCTCACCGTCTCTTGGTCGATCATATCCATCCGAGCAACCAGTTTGAGTCTCACTGAAGCTGGCCTGCTCAATAGACTGACGTGTAGGTCTCTGACAATGTAAATCTTCTCCGTGATGCTCCTGTCGTTGTAGGGGAGTGTTTCGGTGACTAACCCTAGAACATTCAGCTTAGACTAACCCTAGAACATTCAGCTTAGCGCTACCTGGACCATACAGCTATTTCAGGGCTGCTTTAATCTTGTCCACAGCTCGTGAAAGTCTCCACTTCTGACACTATGTTGTGTTGTTCAATAAAACCCTTGGCTACTGGTGTATGGTTCATTACTTTTACTGAGCATCAAGCAGTATTCCACTGTACAACTATGCAAGTGACATTAATATACAGTCCCGTGGTTCCCCATAGTGTTATCAATATATATATATATATATATATATATATATATATATATATATATATATA